AACATACTATCTAATGGAAACAACCACGATATATCCAAATAAGAGGGTGGGGGGCGTGTGCGTGTGTGTGTGTGGGTGGGTGTGTGTGTGTGTGTTGGTGGTAATCAGCGAGCACCCCCTGCAATGGCTAATGTCTCCATTTCTTTCAGCTCTAGGAAATTTAGACGAAATCACTACTTATTTATCAAGAAAATTAATAGACAAATGAAATGAAATAAAATGGGGTTTAACGTCCTACTGTTCTGCTCCGACTGGGCTAATGAAGACGGGCATACACCATACAGTGTGCAATGGGGGAAATTTTGCCCGGGCCAAGGGATCTTTTACGTGCATACCAATGTATACACGTAACCTCGGTTTTTCGTGCAATCCGAACGACTAGACAGCTGTCTTTGCCAGACATTGACAATGGGAAACCACTTTGGAAAATCCCGATGAACTTTCTCGGCCAATGCAGGGATCCAACACGCGACCTCTTGGCCAGCGAGCCAGCGTCACACCCACTTAGCCACCGTGGCTCGCAGATTAATAGAGAAAAGAAAATCTCGAGAAATGAAGGAATGGGGCTTGCGAGGCATGAAAATTTAAAGACCAGATTTAAATTTAAAAGATCAATATTCGTCACAAGAAAAAAATTAATCATAGATAGAAACGAGTTAATTGTAGATGATCTAAAACTTAAAAGGTGAGATCATGAAATCAACAGAAGAAAATGTAAATTTTTGATAAGGCTACTTTTAACTGTATGGATTGAAATGCTATATTTGACGTTTATTTTGCCATTAATTACCACCTTATTAATTATACAGACCTATCCCGGATAAAACATTTGAGTCAGAAATAGATGACACACCTTTGTTTGTATTTTTTAAATAACGGTATGGGAGAACAATAGACACATTTAATGCTTTTATTGATTGTCGTTATCGTCAACTACAGATAGATGTGTGTACGACAAACAAACAACATAATCAACTAGAATCAATACTGCTCATAATTAATTAATAACTTATACCCCAAGGTGAAGATACAGTAAAATCGTATGGATACGTCCACGTTGTGAAGTTGGATAAACAACCATTTATTTGCTACCTTCTATTCTGGCTAATAAAACAAACACTAATTATCGAGAATCATTGACGTTGATCGATAATTGTAATAAATGAAATTTGGTTCAACGTCCTATTTTTCTCCACCAACCCGACAAATGAAGACGAACATACGGTATAGTCTAAAAATTAAAGCCAACTGCAGATTTCGTCAAGGTCGCGAGATGTAAATAGGTTAGAGTGCGTGATTGTTGACGAGATTGTGGGTTAGGGTTTGGGCAAGGGTAACGATTAGGTCTCGGGTTAGTTAGGGTTAGCGCTAGCCCTGTTTACATCTCGTGACCTTTGACCAAATCTGCAGTTGACCTTAATTTTTAGACCTAACCCTGACAAACGCCAAACAGACATTGGATATCCCCGGCTCGTCTGATTGCTGAGCCACCGTGGTTACATTGTAATAAATATAAAATGGTCAGAAATACTGTAAAGCGTTATTAAAGCGACCTACTTTATTGATCTTTTTTCTTATAGATTTATTTCGTTAATTATTTATTCCACCCACGCACGCCACAGAAAAAAAAGAAAACGTTAATTAATGTTACAGGGTAAGATTAATATCCTACAAATATTTTGAGATAGTGCATTCAAAAGATCAGGTTTACAAATTGCTAGTATTTCTAAATGAAATGAAATGGGTTTTAACGTCCTACTGCTGCTCCGACTGGATTAATGACGACGGGCATACGCCATACAGTGTGCTATGAGGGAAATTCGCTACGGCTTACTCTTATACTGAATTTCAACTGCTAAGGACTCATTTACGTGGACGCCAATTTGTACAGGGGACTCGGTTTTTCGGACCACCCGAACAGCTATACGATGCCCCTTGTCAGGCCCTCCGCCCTACACCACTGACAAGAGGAACTTTCTCGGTCAACACAGGGATCGAACACGGGACCTCAATGTTAGCGAGTCAACGACTTACTCACTGAACCACCGTGGCTACACTGTAAAAAATATCCATTTTTTATGTGGCCGAATTCCGTAATTTAACACCTTTTTTCTGTTAATCGATGGATTTTTTGGAGAACTTGTGTTAATAGTGTGAATTATTTCTTCAAATTACGTATTTTATGTATTTCTGTGGATTATTCAGTATTAGACAGGAAATTTCCGTGAAATTTAGGGATAAAATGTTTTATTCCCTTCTATAATGGACTTAATTCTGTTATTTTACGGAATAAACGGTGGAATGACAAGGAAGTTCCGCGAAATTTAGGGATAAAATGTTTTATTCCGTTCTGTAATGGACTTAATTCTGTTATTTTACGGGATAAACGGTGCAACGATAAGTAATAGTATACATATATAATCATTCCTAATAATCATCATGTTATAGTATTCATTTCAAATTATTAACCATAATATGAAGAATCATATTTTGTAACGTTTGGTATATTAATTGACGTGTATATCTAATTTCCATTATTTATAAGATCTATAAAGTGTATTGTTATTCATCATACGGAAATCAGATTGTAAGTATTTTCATAGATATGTAAAAATATGTTTTAAGGCTGCGTGTGTTAAGGTTGTAATATCTGGTAATCAAGCACGCTTAAATCCGGATAGTGCAACCGGTTGGCCTGTGTAAGTCGGTTTGTCTCTATGGCAGAGTCAACATACCTGCGAATTGATAATACCGAAAACTTACATCTGAAAGCCTCCAACCACTGACGAGTAGCGGTTTGTGATACCTTGCTCTCGATTCTTATATATATTAGCGAAAAGAGGTTACGTTTAAAGATTATCTGCGATATCACTTCGGTGGAAGCGGACGTTAAATAAAGCTAATTCACGCACGCGTATAAAGTCAATGGTTAATTCAATGAAATTTTTATCACCTTCATGGTCAGGATTTTTTTTTCTGTATTTGAAAATGGAATTTATGTTAATTGAGGGAATTTCTGTAAATTACAGGAAAAACAAATACGGATAAAATTTTCCTGGTAATTTTTGTTTCCGGAAATTTTTACGTTTTTTCACGGAAATTTTTGTTACAGTGTACCTAGGATTTTCAAATACATACGCTTATTTCTTCTATTGAAAAAGAAAGCCCAGATTGAATGTGGTTATATTTTTTAGAAAATATTTTAATTCACTAGGCGTGGTTTGTTTAGATACGTGGCTTTGTTTTGCGAAGAGTATACTTGTGTTTGTACGTTTAAACGTTAAATGTTAAGATTTAGTTGATTAGTGATCATCATTCGACAGGAGGTTCGCTTTGAAGATGTAACCTTGATATAAAATGTAGGTTCATTCAGATGAACATAACCTTTCAAGTTAGTGTTATATAAAAGAACCAAAAAAAAACAAACAAAAAAAACCCCAAAACATACAACGTAAATTGTAAAAGAAACGAAAGTACTTTCTAAGTTTGATCAGACTTAAATAAGGGCATACACCCTGAAGGTATTTTATAATGATTCTAGCCTTTGAGTGGAATTATTAGAGCATTGAATATAAGATAAAAAGAAATTCAAGTATATGCATTTGCAATCTTTATTTTTTTCAATCTTTTTTATTTTTTTTATTCACCTTATTCTTCGACAGTTTCTATTTCTGTTCTATAAAATCAACATTATTCCTCGTCTGTCATGTTTGTTAAGATAGCAGATCCACGATGACGAGTAGACAGAAATAAGATCAATTTCTATAATACAACATAAGTACGTAGATCAGTTGTATTAGCCCACATTGAATGTTTTGGGTCAATTCTATCTATCGTCCGTCTACAGGTCCTGGTGGTCGTTCTAGAGCTAACGTTATCGTTGGCTCGTCTTTTAAAAACATATTGTAGTACTTGCTTGTATTATTAAATTGAAGACGACTATCTATGGAAGCCTATAACTACCATTCGTAATTTATACTTTTCGACCCTTCAGGACGCGAAAGTCGACAAAATGTAAGGTGACAGCACGCGCACCAAGACCAAGTAAAAATCGACTCGACAATAGGAAATAAAGAAATAAACACACCGAAATATTAGCGCCACTCGTTTTGTCGTGACTTCTAATTTTCGAGTAGCATTTTGGTTTTCGAATTAATCATATTTTTGCATTTATGCATGTCAGTAAAAAGTGATAGGCATAGGCACCTACCAATCGAAATTGCAAGTCGAAAAGTAGAAATTAGGAAATTAGCACACTGCGATATTGCCGGCCTATTATTCTGGCCTGCTGTCGTGCTGTCGAATTTTAGAGTTTCGCATCGAAGGTCACATTTGAATACGCGCAATGTAGAGACTACAGTCGTGTGGGCGCTCTAAAGCGTAAAGTTTCCATCGGATTGAAAATGGCTCTTATTACCCGGGCAGACAAAAACGTTTGATATTGTTAACATATACTTAAGACATGCTTTCAACTTAAGCTTTCTGATTTCTCCTTAAAATCCAACCATTGCTGAGATCCAAATCTGTAAATTCGAGATTAAAGTGGGTGCCACATGTATTGATTACAACTTTAGCCACATCTTCCAGAAGGAAGTATGTGTTAGATGGACCTTTTATATAGTCAATGACCCGCCTAGTGAAAGACTGATATTCTAACCAATCACAACGGTTTTGGACAGACTGCTAGTAGTCATATCTTGACAATATTGATCACCGGGACGAAAATAAAGGTCGAATTTTAATTGGAATGACTTAAAGCATAGTGGTGGTGAATCCGTTTTTACTTTTGGGTTGATAGCTTACTTGTATCCAGATCACTGTGATTATCGTGGCTATATGAACGGAGCAGCATTTTGGGTTGAATACTTATTTGTACCCAGATTACTGTAATACGTTTGGCGATGAACCGGATTACTGTAATATGTTTGGCGATGAACCGAGGCGCAAGCGATATTTATTTTACTTTCCCTTAATTTACTCATCTTTCTTTCTTATTTCAGGTTTATTGCCGACGTTCGAGATACCTACTGTATTGGGAATCATTACAAAAATAGAACCCCATCAAAGTCTCATTAAGCAGATGTTAACAGTATAGGAATATCAGAGGACTAATGTGAGAAGAATTCCACTGGCAATCTCCTCCGCGTCTCGATTGTGTTAGATTCTACAGCTGATTGATATCACAAAATCAGTGTATGGATTCTTAGTGGTGTTGGGAATATTGACAATCGATATTCTGACCTTTTGATATTGTACTGATGTTTATAGAATTGTGACTTTTGATAAAAGACACGACGACTGATTTGATAATACTTCTATTGATAATTACCTTGGGTTAGATTATTAAACTCTTTTATATCACGAAATATGCATTCAGATTCCTAGAAGAACGAAAATCTATTATTTAACCTTTGGTGCTGTTTCGACTAGGAAACGAGTTGTTGTCGCAGGAATTGGGAAGTTGCTATACTACACGATAACAGAGAGATAACTTGAGTGAGAAGCACAGCGGAAGTTTTTGTGTGTGTTGGTCATCAATATCGGATGGTGACGTGTTAACATTTTACCGTATTCTCTAGTGTGAGAACGTTATACAGTGTTACTCCAGGCGGTATTACCACTCAACTAAATGAAACTATTAATGCGAATTATGTATTAGTGAATATAACATACTCTGTTTATACGAATATTGTTTTTAAACCAAACTGACAGTTGGCTTGAACTCTCTGAAAAATATGATATATTTCTATGCTTTTGTTAGTGAAAGTGCCTTTGACGTTTTTGCTTTATGCGCATCTTGGGAGTTTTTTGCCGGAATTCTCTGAACTTTTTTTTAAAAGGCCTATCAGATATTCTTCAAGTGTTGGTCGGCAGATGTTACTGGTTTTGCCAAGTTAAGTGAAAGACGAGAGAAGGGGAAATAGAAACGTGTTAAACAATGTGCGTAATATGAGACTGGTTGTGCATTCCTATTAGCTAAGTTGTACAAATACATACCATACTTGTACTAACAGGTTGTTTTGACTTCAGAAAGTAGGTAAATGAGCCAATAACGTACCAAGGATTGGCTCCACTGTGTGTGCAATACTCTATATACAATCCTGGTGTGAAGAAAGTCCAACTGTAATTAACTTCTGTTTTCGAGAATATTTGTCATCGTTTGAAAATCGTATTCTTTAAGGAATTCACAAATTAAGAAGTTCCAAATGGCTCTCAAATATATGAACGGAACTAACCAACCAGCCATCTTCACACACATGACATTTACCACAATTTTTGTTACGTTGGCTATAGTAATCAGTAACTGTTTAATTCTTTTGGTAATATCTTGGACTAAGGCTTTCAAGAATGTCAACAAGTGGTTCCTGCTTTCGTCAACTATCTCGGATTTACTATTAGGATTGTTTGTGACTCCATTTTCGATCTTCAATTCCTTATACAATTCCTGGGTATTTGCTAATGATATTTTCTGTTGTATTGAAGCTTACGTTGCGGCCGCATTGCTGATCGCTGGACTTTATTCCCTTGCGTGGTTGCAGGTGGATCACTATGTGGCTATTCGCAAACCGGATCGCTATAAGTATGTCATGTCGCCTACCAGGTCAGCCTGTTGGATTGGGTTCGTTTGGTTGGTCTCCATAAGCTTCTGCATGCCACCGCTCTTTTCCTTACGTCGTGCCAGATACTACAGAGAGGCTTTCATCTGCATCATTGAAGCTAAGCAGCAGCGAGCTTATTTCATGACAGCGGGTCTCTTGGTTGCTGGTCCGGCCATCTCGGCCCTGTTCTATACCAGTTTTTATATGTTCACCAAAGCTTACAAAAAACAATTAAAGTTCTATAATCAGGTATTCGTGGATCGCGCCAGTCGACCTCTCAATTATAAAATTAATCTGATTAACTCTACTATCTTTATCGTCTGTTGGTTGCCCTGGTGCTTGCTAAGGGTTCACCATGCTGTCGTTAGTCGCGACAAAAGAGCTTCCCCGGAGTTCCACTTTTACTTTTTGTGGCTCGGCATTAGTACGGCATTTGTAAAGTTTATTGTTTATGTTTGTAAGAGTAAAGAATTCCGTGATGGACTCCGAGAGAGTTTTAATGTACATGCTGATAATTGCGATTGCCCACGTTGTGAACCTCATCACAACATTGCATGTGCGGATGCATGTAACGAAAGTACCAAATTTGTACAGGTTTAGTTACATAATGATCATAGACTTGGGTTTGGTGTAGGCCTAATGATAAAACATATTTTAATTGATGATGTGTTGAAATATCTGAACTGTTACAATGGGTCAATGTGTTGAAATATCAGAAGTAAGCTGTCATTAAGACCCATACTTACACAGATTGAGACGAATGTATGCTAAAAAGACAATATCAACTTTCCAAAAGGTTAAGAAGACAATAGGAACTTTACACAAGGTTAAGAAAATAAGAAAACAATAGAAACTTTACACAAGGTTAAGAAAACAATAGCAACTTACAAAATATTAAGAAGACACAAGCAATTTACAAAAAAGGTTAAGAAGACAATTACAAAGTGTAAACGACAATAGCAACTTTACAAAATGAAATGGTGTACAAATGGAATCAATAATTACAATATATTATTATATGAAAATGTAGACGATTTTTTGTGGACAAACTCAAATGTTAATGTCATCTAAAACGACAGCCAACTTCGTCTGCAGTATTTAACAAGAATTGATCAGACAAATGACATCTAAGCCTGTAATAAATATGCGTACTGTAATGTTTTCAGGTTTAGGTTCCAAATCCAAATTGTCGCCGATGTGTAAACTACTTTAAATTGTGATGTAGTTAAATTGCAAAGTTGCTTGAGATTGGATACATTTTTGGAGACTTTTCTTTCATTCAATTCCCGGAGTATAAACCTTACTTTTTATCAAATGACTATAATTCTTATGGAATCTGAAATCAGGCGTATCTATGACGGGATAAGAACTATTGTCTCTGTAAAACAGAACCTTTGCCGGATATCAGCATTAATATTAGAATGGAGCAGCTAGAAGTACCTCTAGACATATATGACTTTTGCATTTTAACGTACAGGGTGTTACATGTTACTGATATTTTATCGTGTTTTTTTCAGATATAAGTATTTATTACAATTATATGATAAGACCTGTCATTCTGTTATAGTGCCACGTTTTGTTTTGTTTTGTTTTTTTGCAATTAGACTAGACATTTCAAAAGATGGACAATTTTTTCCATATCTTATTTTTATCCTATATTGAATAAAATCAAGATTCAAAATATTTTGAATAACTTCATGCTGTATTTCTAATGTGTCATGTCACGCTGTCTGTGCCTTTGCCTAACAACATCGCGAAGTAGTGTGTATCATGACCGGTTGACAGAAAGTAAAGCACTTTTGGTCAATGAAATCGCGCCTTATATGAAGGGGGAATCAATGTCCATGCAGTGGCCAAATGCCATATACTCGATTATCAAACAAATGAGGATTATTGAGTATTGCTTCGTAAGTCGTGTAGTCACCGACAAACAGCTCCTGGTGTGCACAGGCCTTTGATGTTCCACCCTGTTTGGATAAGCTTGTGACCTAAAGCATTGTGCTGCTGTTTATCGGCCACCTCGAGTTTGTGTGTGACATGGAATGAAGTTAAATGGCGTTTAACGTCCCATTTGGCTTTTGTGTGAAAAGGCGTCGGATCGCATTTATAGCAAATAAGGATGTTTGGGCAATAGACATAATGAAAGAAAGATTAGGCATGATATAAACCCAAAATATGAACAGGGGTGAAAGAAATGATTTGTTTATAAAAAAAAATTTTCACCCTTAAAACAACACATTTTCCCCCCTGTGTGTTCTGGTTGACTTTATGATCTGGAAGTGAGCATTATTGAACCAGATCTCCATTTCCATAGCCGTTTTGGGTAATAATTGATGATATTACGACGGAAGTGTAAACTGTCATTTTTCAGATCGATCATCGGAAGTTACAATACTGGACCACATTTCAAATCGTAAGCCTTATTAAACCGCTGTACAAGATGATTGACCCTTACGGTTACGCTCAGTAACATCATAATGGCGTCGATAACACGCGCGTTGTGTATATTGGACGTAGTAATACAAACTGGTCCGGACAAAATTGACGCCTTTTACTCATTAATTTTTATACCTTAGGGTACTATTTTAGATACCAATTTACAATTTACACTAAATAGAAAACTTTTTTTATCCAGATGTACTTCAATCACCTTTATTCGTTTCTTAATTTAATTTGCAGTAGAAAAAAAACTAATATTGAAATTATTATCTCACCCCGATATCATCACTGTCAGTGATATTGGCGGCCATCAGTTTGGTAAAAATGTAGGTTGTTAACGCGTCCATAAGACTCGTATGCTGCTCTCTATATATATAATGCAAAAACACCTGTGGTTTTCACGCATTTTGTAATATTTTAACAATCCCCATTCTTCAAACAAGAGTTATATCCCTTGTATCGAATACACACCACCAAACACGGTATTTATATACGCCCACAATTTTTATCTGATTGTGATGAAACTTGAAATGTATTTTTATTGCCCAAAGATGCTGGTTCCTTTCGATATCGGATCGTAACCTCCTGAATTATGGACCCTGACTGTACGAAAAATCGCGTGTTTAGCTTGTGGTCCGATTTAGAAAAACCTTTCGAATATATGACAGTTACACTGTAATGTGGGTTGAGTTCGAATTTCGTGAAAATTTGACCAAAACTGCCGGGCAAAATGGCCGCCCCTCGAACGCAAATAGTGTAAACATATGGTATATCACGGTTGTGGACCCTTTAGAGGTCACAATTTCGTTCCGATTTTGATGAAACTTGAAATGCATGTTTATAGCCCAAAGTGCTTGCTTCCTTTTGATATTCGCTCATATCGGATCTTAACTTCCTGAATTATGGCCCCTGATTTTACGGCTTGTGGTCCCTCTAGGGGTCACAATTATTATTCGATTTAAAAAAAAAACAACGTTCGAATATATCACCGTTACATCGTAATGTCGGTTGAGTTTAAATTCCATTGAGACTTAGCTTCGAACAACCAGTACGGTGGTTGAAATTATTGCACACGTCTTGTTAAACCTTCAGAGGCTTATATCTTCGCTCGCATTAGAGTAATTTGAATGAAATTTTAAAATTATTTATTTTACATTATCTATTTTCGAACTATTATAGCAAGAATGGCTAGTTCTTTATCTAGATCTTACATAATGTATCTTTAAAATATATCTTTATGTCCCAAACATCTCAGCCCCTTTCGATATTTGCGCACTTCAGGCCATAACTTTCTGGATTATGACCCCTGATTGTACGAAAAATCGCTTTTGTTTTAGCTTGTTCTCTATCCACCTCTTGCAAAATGTGGGCGTATCTTGCCTGGCAACCGCTGGTTTTTCTATGCAGTTACATTCGTTATCAAGGCTATGTCCGTCCACTCATAAGAAATTATGCCATTTTTGTACTTTTTCGCTTGAATGTAGTGGTCTTAAGCAGTGGGAGGAGAGCCGCGGACGCGGAGAAAACGCACGAGGTTGGGCAGACGACCATAGTCCTTGTCGTTAGGATTCCCCTTTAGAGCGATTCATGCACAGAACAAAACTCCAATAAAGGAGCTATATTTTGGGCTTATTTTAACATATATGATAAGACGACTTACCATTAAAAACACCATTTATTAGAGTAGAGTAAAAATAAACACAAAGATTTTTTTACAGAATCTGTTGGTGTCATAGAGATTTGCCAATTTTATAGTTTTCTGTTTTAGGTTTTAGTAGTAGTTGCTGCCTGCTGCCGACTTTCATTATTTCTGTTTTATCATCGTTGAGTTTTAATAAATGTGAGTCTATCCATTTACGAATATCTGATAAACAGGCACCGAGTTTGCATATCTCAGATGGTTCAGAAGAAGGCCCAAAAGCTATATAAATTTGAGTGTCGTCATATACGTCATTGGTTACAATCAACTAAATTAAAAATTAAATCGCTGAGTCTAAGCCAAAATTTTAATCAAGTTCGTAACTACGTATTTTTGAAAGTCCGGCGAGTAATGAAGAATTTTTTTCATGGCTTCACTGATAAATAAATGAATGAATATTGTCACGTGAATGTCTATTTTGGGCAAATGCTTTCTGCCTGCAGGGTTCACTCCCATTTCGACTACGTCCCATTTCGACTACACCTCATTTCGACTACAAATTTTATTACCCTCAAAATCTTGACCCCCAACTAATCAGCAATGAGCTGTTCCATCGATTAAGAGATTTAATTAAGGTAATGATTATTGTTAAAAATAGCTTATATTTTGATTCTGGAACAGTATACAGTGATCATATCACACCTATTCTATATAAACTGCACTGGCTTCCTATAATTTTTAGAATTGAATACAAGATTTTATTATTAGTTTTTAAATGTATAAATAACATGGCACCTATTTATCTTAGTAATCTTTTATGTTTTTATGAACCTCGTCGACAATTACGGTCTTCCGGTGACAATTTTCTACTTATTAAGCAAAATACTAATCTTGTCAGTTTGGGCAAGAAGGCTTTTGAGGTTGCTGCCCCAAAACTATGGAATAAACTTCCTTATTCCATTGGGTCATGTACTTCTCATTTAAGATTTCTCTTAAAACCCACTTGTTTAATAGGGATTTTAATTAATCATCTCTGTCATAATTGTATCTATAATTTTATACATTACTTTCCTTTTTTTTAATATCATATTGTAAAGCGTCATTGAGCACTTTTGTGGAAATGACGCTATATAAACGCTTATAAATAATAATAATAATAATATAGCTTGTTTTCTTTAACATCAAAGCAAAAATATCAACTCAGAGTACATTTTAGTTTTGGACAAATATTTGTAATTTTTGGAGATTACATTGAGTTTAATGCTTACTTATCTATATAACACGAATAAATTCAAATTTTGTACATTTATTCTTCAAGTTCACTATAATTCAGTCAAAATTTTTTTTATCTTATTAGAATTACTTTATGACAAATATTGTTTTATGTGTTGACGGGACTTCGTGAAATAGAATGTAGGATGTTTTATGGAAGAATCTATTTTGGCTATAGGGAGGGTATATAAGTAGGGATAATAAAGCCACCAGACCATATAATCTGTTGTCATAAGCTGTAGGCGAATTGGGACGTAGGCGAAATGGGAGGGTATCGCCTGCAGTGCACGAGCGAACCCCGACTGAACTTTTCTCAAGTTAAAACATGTCAGTTTATATAAAGCACAACTGTCTGAGGCTGTGGGTCATTGTACCTTTAGTACAAACAGCAAGACGTCAAAGGAATTTCATTCAACATAAAAGTAATTGACACTTAATATAATAATGTTAGATAAGACTATTTAATAGACCTTTTAGAGGCCTGTATAAGAAACGATGTATATATGGGTTGGTTATTTTGCACGTGGACAAATTTTGTTTTATAACGAGAGATTAGTTTACTCCATTGACGCTTTTCGTGTTTATTGAGGGGTGTCTGTAGTTTTCATGTCCCAATTCCTAATAATAAAAAAAAAGTTTAATATCTTCTGACTGTTTGATTAAATACCATAGTCATAACCCTTCACTCGTGTTTAAAAAATATGGCGTGAATCATGTCGGTGTAGCTTTTCGAAATCGACTTATTTTGGGGTTGTTGGGTTGGGGTTTTTCTTGCTATACCTGAATTACAATGATTCAATGCTATACCTGAATTACAATGCTTCAATGATGGTAACTTTATTTTTTTCCATTCTCAGTGGAGCACGGGACTTTCTTTCCCACGATAATGACCCAGAGATACTCCTTGCTTCGAAAGTACTAATGAAGACGAATTTCCATTTAATGTGCTTTGAGGGGGATTTTACCCGGACAACGATGCTGCGATCTACTTTAATTTTGAATTCCAACTGGCAGGGGTTATTTGAATGTGTATGCTAATATGCCAGCCCCCCACCCCCATCATGCAACACTGACAATGAAAAACCATGCAGAAAAGTGGAAACGATGCCGAAAAATCTCGATACCAAGAACCTCCTGGTAAGTCATTTATATGACAGATCCATAATCAACCGCCTAGAGCAGCGGGTGTTCGCGATTTTCAACGGATTCAAACACAAACGTCATTTAATAATTTAATTTATAAATTGATAATCGAAATCGAGACTTTGTTTATTATCGTAACAATGGCACTTGACAAACGAGGCTATATTGTGAACCCTTTAAAGCCTGATAACTTCGCTCAGAAACGTGTCAGTTGACTAAAACTTTCAATATATTCATTTTCCATTATATATATATATTTTTCACTTATTATAGCAAGAACGGCCAGCTCTCTATCTAAATCATTTATAATGCATCTTTAATTACATAAAAGTAACTGTTTTTATGTTATAGAGGATTGTATTTTTGTCACAAAATGTATTTTCCGCGTACAGATCCGCCTTCTATATAAAGAATTACATAAATCTGCGCCTATACAAATATTAGATTTGCATAAATAAATTGTTTTGCAACTCTGATTAGCATCTTGTCACGAAACGTTTTATTGGTATTGTTGTTTACGTGCATATGGTACACCTTTACTTACAATCTGTACATGGGAAAACACTACAAAATAAAATGAAATGAAATGGGGTTTAACGTCCTACTGTTCTGCTCCTGCTGTGTTAATGAAGTAGGGCATGTGCCATGCAGTGTGCTATCTGGGGAAAAATGCCCGGACAGCGGTGCTACCGCCTACTCTTATTTTGAATTCCAACTGTCAAGGGTTCTGTTACGTGGACGCTAATGTGTAAACAGGACCTCGGTTTTTCGTCCGATCCGAACGACTATACGTTGTATTTGAAAGCCCTCAGTTCTATACCACAGACAAGGGGGAACCACGTCGGAAAAATCCCTATGCACTTTCTCATCCAACGCCGGGATCGAACATGGGACATAAAGTTCATGTCATATTATGATTGTTATGGGTTTTATTATATTGTGAACTTCAGGCACGCTCACTTGGTCTCATGACGACGAATATTCAGTAGCAAAGACAAATGGGACCCATCTATCACCAGATATTCGAACACAATTAAAAAGAGCAACGCTACCGCTGCAATATACGTCCACATTTCTGTTTTGATTTGATATGTTATATTTTAAAATGAAGAGAATGAAATTATTAACAAAAAGAGGTGGTCGGGGCATGCACCGAAATAAATATTTATGCCAAGTTCCAAGATGATCCATTCAGAATTCCAGCCTGTAGAGAAAAAAAAACACAAAAAAGGGCGTGGTTCTGCCCGTGGGGGTGGACATGGACCAATATAAATAGGTACAACCCTATGATGAATCATGCCGAATTGGATCCAAATCTGTTAATAATTGAAACCTGTAGATTATTTAGTCAAAATATTAACAAAAGGTTGTTGTGACACCACCCAAGGGGCGGATCATGCAACAAAATCAATAGTTGCCGTCCAAGCATACCAAGTTCCAAAATAATCCTATTAGAATTGTGGCCTGTATTCGATAAACACAAAAATTGAACGTGGCTCTTTCCCTGGTGATTGGGACATGCACCAAAATCAAGAGCTGCCGTCCTTAGTCAATAAGACGATGCTAAATTCCAAGACGATGCATTAAGAATTTTATTGTGGCTTGTAGGCAACAGACACACAGAGAAAAATTGGGTGTGGCTCTGCCCCTGGGGATCGGGCATGTATCAAAAACAACAGAGATCATCCTTTCAAAATGATCTGTTAAGAATTCCGGTCTGTAGGCAAACACACAGGCACAAACAAAAATGGACGTGGCTGTCCCAGAGGATTGGGCATGCGCCAAAGATAAAAGAGGTCATCCCATCCATAGGGTACAAGGGATAAGTATGAAAAGTTTTCAAGATGATCCATTAAAAATTGTTGCCTGCAGGCGACACACAGACGCACAAAAAGAAAACGGGCGTGGCTCAGCCCCTTGTGGTCGGAACATGTTCCAAAATCATTAGTTGTCGTCCTTAGGCTACAAGGAATATTTATATGCCAAGTTCCATGAAGATCCATTCAGAATTGCGGCCTGTATACGATAAACACAAAAAATTGGGCGTGTCACAAACACACACCACTTGGCAAACCTCAGCAGATTCCAGCTCGACTGTATGACGGTAAGTGATATGTACCAACGCCTATACAATTGAGATGCGGCACGATTTCGTTATTACTTATTCACGAAAGCAAGCAGAACTTGATGCAGGCGATTTGAATCGCTGTCGCCATTGTGGTAGACGATAAATGACTTTTCGCTCTTTCTTGTCTAAGCGTTAATTCAGAGCCTCCCGGTTTGTATCGGTCGTTCGCAATCTTTTTGCCAAGAGTTAACAAAAGTAAACCGGCCTTGAAGCACGCGATCCCCATAGCTGTCGCCACTATATATGAAAGCCGATAAGTACCCCCTCACTCTTTCTTGTCATAGAGTCAATTCAGTGTTCTCCGGTTTGTATCGGCCATGCGCAGTCTCAGAGAAACTAAAATTTGAAGCTTGAACAATAGAAGTTCACATGACAGATACAAACTGACTTTGCCTTCCGGCTTTAGACTCATAGAGAATTGAAGGCAAGAAGGTAGGACACCTTGCTCCGCCACGGCCTCGCCTTGCTCTAAGTTAATACCGAAATATTATAGATATGAATTTATAATAAAGATATATTTTATGGTTGATCCGTTACACTAGGTGTCTCATAATTCCTCTGAAGACAACACGTTGCAATTTGAAACTGTGACAGCAAAAAACTGCAAGCCGAATTGTATATTATGTAATCTGTTTAATGGGGGGGGGGGGCTTATGTCAACAACTGAGAGCGACTGAATTCGAAGCGCTCATTTCGACTCAGAACTAATAGCGATTACACTTAACATGCGATTTAATTTTTATCATGTCATCAACAAAATGGCGAATACCTTAGAAGACACACCCCAAAGGCATGGTCGTTCTTGCCGCAATTATGTTAATACATTATTGTCGGCATCATCAACATTTGAAAAGAGGCACACGTCTCTTATCACGTGATGTTATTTGTATGGAAACGAATTGACGCCAGTTGTAAGAACGATCATGTCGACGGCAACTAGTTGTCACTAGCTGAAGCGAGATTTAGAAAGTTAAACATGGGCAGCTGGCTTCAACTGACTGAAACTGTGGCTGCTTTGGGTTGTAAGGGGAGCTCAGGTCGACCTTTTCCAGTTGAAGCCAGTTGCTCCCAATTGCCGAAACGTCTGCTGCTTTCAGATGTAAGATCGACATACCCAATACCACCACCACCACCCATTTAACTTATTCTATCAGATATTCTATCATAAGTTTGCTCCTGTGTTTTGTTCACGGACGAGAATCCGACCAAAGGGACTGTTTATTTGAATATTATAAATTGGGAATTATGTTTTTTTTAACGTTTAATACACAAATCCGACCAATTCACGCTAACATTGGCTTTTTTTATTATTGATTATTATTATTTCAACGGTCCTGTGGCACATATATACTCAGCCAAATTTAAAACTTGACAATCGGGATTTTTGGGACTAGATTTTTAATATTTGGTTTAAGGCAACTATTTTAATGTTATGTTGTGCACAGACGACCTTGACATCAACAGAAAGCAGGAATACGTCTCGCCGAAAGTCCTTGACATTGATAACGTTCATGATGTCACAGTACCCCTCAAAATGAAATTCACAGACTTGGAGAACAATCGGAATAAAGTGTTTAGTAACGGTTGTGGCCTCCTCTAGCGTCTCGTACTGCCACACAACGTCTTCTCATGGATCTCAGAACATTAGTAAACACTACCCGAGGAAGACGTCGCCACTGCTCAGCAAGAGCATGTTGAAGGTCCTGCAACGTCAGTGGTGGATTCACTTGCTGACGAACACGTCGACCCAGTTCGTCCCAGATGTGTTCAATAGGATTAAGGTCGGGGCTAAGCGACGGCCAATCCAGGACTTGGACACCGGTAATTCTGGGTAGCAATTGCTGTATGGGGTCGAGCATTGTCTTGTTGAAACGTTAGTCCAGGCCCATGTCTGCATAAACGGAAGAAGAACAGGTTGCAAAATCTGATCCCTGTACTGGACAGCATTTAAGTTCCCTTGGACAACAACAAGAGGAGAACGTCCATGTGCACAAAAGAACCCCAAACCATGACGCTGCCGCCACCAAATCGGTCAGCTTCTCTGACGCATACTTGAGCGTAACGTTCACCTCGTCTGCGGTACACTCGGGCCCTGCCATCGGCAAATCTCAAAGTGAATCGAGATTCCTCACTAAAGACAACCGAATTCCACTGTCTTTGAGTAAATCTTATGTGCAGTTACCCTTCCACCAAACATCTCTCTACTTGTGTTTCTAAGATGACGTAATCGTATTGCTTGATCTTCCTGGAGTGATGTGACACGTGGCGCTCCCGCTCTTGGGCGGTCGGCAATAGTTCCAGTTTGAAGCACTCTCATTCTAAGATTAATTATTGTCTGGCGTGAACAATTAGAGGATCTTGCAACATGCCCATAATTTTGGTCTGTTTATGTTGAAAAACACTGTCAGCAAGCACAAAAACTAAATGTTTAAAAAACATAAATTCGTGTTTATAATATCCTAATAAACAACCCATTTGATCAGATTTTTGGCCAAACGACGACGCGTAAAAAAAATACAGCAGTAAACTTATGCCAAATCTGTATGCTTACTATAGAGACCCGTGAGCTTGTTGAACCATCTACGTTAATTCCGGTTTTAATAAAAATAAAATAATTTGTCGCTTACAAAAACATTTTTGCCTGTGTTTCAGAGGGGATTATATATGAATATATATATGCATTTAAGATTTATGGAAACCGTGTTGAAAATCGTTGGTCTTCCCCTTTAAATGTAATCAGGCACAATTATAGATTAAAAATTAATCAAAACGCAAAGTATTTCGAGCAGTACTTAAAAAGAAATAAAAAAAATAATTGTTAAGTAAATGTTATTCTCTTTGTCAGAAACTGCTGGAGACAATCTTTAAACCTGTCTCACGCGAGTGCTTCACTATTCTGCGTAACCCCTTGGGCCAATTAGTGTAGGTATTTGTGTAGGTCATTGTACGCGGTGTAAGAACTAGGTAGTTGGATGGCGTAACGGTACACCGGGGTGTCGCAAAAGCCGCATCGTAGAAAAAGTGTCAGATTTTGTCAAAATCTGGGTTACCGCAAAGGTGACGCAAATATAACCTAGTGCTATGAGATGTGACGCATGCTCTGCAGTAGTACTTGCGTCATGTGTACGTAGCTTTTGCGCTCTACACTATATTTCGGGCACTCTCCGAACGGGGTGATGCCCCATCCTTTTCAACAGTTACCTTGACGATGGCCCGCATCCTGGAAGGCCATCAACAGCAACCATTCAAGAAAACATTACCCTGGTGCATGACATGGTGATGGCTGATCGACGGTTGACCACTCGACATATGACCAGTTTTGTGGGCACCTCTCATGAGAGGGTTGGGCACATTAACGCTTACGAGTTACACTTTTAAAAATGGATGTAATTAGAAACTAAAAGGAGTGTTAATTGGGTGTAAACTTTACACCGCAGCTAACGTTTTTTAAATGTAATACCTTTCCAAGGGTAACCAACTAAAAGAACTACACCTAAAAAGACGTGTAACCGATATTCATGACTACTTAACTCCGGAATAGGTGTAATTGTGGGGTGTTTTGGATGAGCTACGTTACTCCCAATCATAGAACAGCGTTAATTTTACAGCGATTATTGGGTTGCAAAAGTGTAATCGATATTCATGAGTAGTGAACACCAGGATAGGTGTAATTGTAGCCTCTAAAGAATGATTGGGATGATCTACCCCCCTACAAGCGTTTTATTGCATTTACACCAACAGGTGTAATTATTTTAGGGAAACATTCCTCCAAGTAAGGTATCCATTTTACACCGCATTACACCGTATATTGCGTTACAAAAGTATTTGTGTACTCCAATTTGAGTGGTTTTTTTTGTAAAATATGGAGTTGACTGCACTTGTAATACAACTATAACTCATTTTAGGGTGCTTTCTCATAAGGAGTAAAGTATAGATTGTTTTAGCTTGTATATACTTGAAGACGTGTACATGTTCCAAAATATTACCAAGTACAATATCTTAATTAATAATTCTTAATTCGGGTGAGGTGCATAAAATGAGAGAGAGAGAGAGAGAGAGAGAGAGAGAAATGGGGTTTAACGTCCACTCGACACAAACTAGGTCATTTCGGGACTAACATATGGTTTAATTTTATTTCAATAATTCGCTTGCGCGTAGGGGTCTTTAGCAGTGGGAGGAAACCGGAGGACCCGGGGAAAACCCACGAGGTTGGACAGGCACCCCTACTCCTTGTCACGTACAACCGGGGATTCGAAACCACGCCAGTTGACTCAATGACAGGCCTCATGATACAGCGCGCGTGTGCTAATCATTCGGCCATCCACCCCCCCCCACCCTGCATAAAATGAATAAACCATATTATTCAGCTATGTTGTAAGGATATGTGTATTAATTTTTCATCGTGGTTTATATTCATTGTAGATTGATACAGATTGTCTAATTGCCCAACAGCAGTTGAATTTGAATCAGTCTGATGGGTATTTGTTAATTTAATGTCGTTGTAACATGAGGCGTAGTAGTCGACGGTTTATATGTAATCTGGGTCGGGCTAAACGCCCTTTACTAATTATCATAGAGACCGATAACCAATTTCAAGTTTTCTGAACTTCGAAGTCGTTGGTTTGAAAAACATATCCAACAAATCAAATTACACCCGCGTTGGTGTAATAATTAAAATGGAAGTGTAATTTACAAACCATCCTTGGGGGGTAATGGTTAATCTACACCCACGGGTGTAACATTACACGTCTGAGTGCATCAGGCAGGTTACTCTACTGGAACTGGCAACTAGTTTCCACCTGAATTGGTGTAATGTTCTACACTAGTTGGGTGTTATCGGTTTACACCACTAAAGGCTGTGAGTTACCCCTATTTAGGTGGCAACTAGTTTCCACCCGAATTGGTGTAAACTACCTTAATATTATTAACTGTGTAGTAATGACAAAAATTTTTGCAAGATCAGCTACTGACCGCGGATCAGAAACGCATCAGATGCCTGACGTCCGATGACAATCTGCGCTGTTAATTATTTTTTGGCCAGACTTCCACCTGTTTCAAAAAATGAAAAAGATACAGCCTATCGACATTTTCCTTGCAACCGTGGCTGAAGAAATTTTTCTTCCTTCCCGCATTCAAGCCTTGCAACATCGTTCGCAAAAGTGTGTTGACTTCAAAGGGGACTATGTATAAAAATAATTGGAAACAATCGACTTTGTACAGGTCTTTCACAGGTAGAACTTTTCAGCCAGCCCTCGTGTGTGCTATAAATATTACTTTCCGTATATGTTTAAGTAAAGTTTTATAATGTTACCGTTATCCATAAGCGATACCTGATTTTATTTTGTATTTTATTATTTCGTTTTCCTGCAATGCGAGATACACCGTGACTCTGTAAGGCGCCGGCTCTCTAACCAGAATGTCTCGTCAGGGTTTTCCGGCGTGATTTCCCTTTGTCAGTGGTGCAGTAAGGAGAGTCTTCTAGGATCAGCGTCTTGTCGTTCTAATGGGATGAAACATCGAAGTTCCGTGTACACGTAAACGACCCCCTGACAGATGGCACACTGTTGTATGCCTGTCATTAGTTCCTTTTGGTGTAGAAAATAAGGACTTTAAACAGCATTTCATTTCTCATGCAAAGCAGTCTTAGGGGATAAATTGTTCGCGACACTGACATCAAGGCTTCTAAATCCTTTAATTGCAAATTTTTGATAAATATAAAGATTTAATAAAACAATTAAACGAATTTGTACAAAAATAAATGAAATTTATTTCAAGCATAATGATGATGGTGGTTATATACAATAAGATAAAATATAGATAAAGAGAGAAATATACATACTCTTCTTATATTATAAATAAATAGTAATAAGCAATGGCTGATTCGCAAACGATAAAATAATAATTTTAAAAACGTGTAGAATGCTATTTACTTTGAACTGTTTAAAACAGAGATAATAAAACATATTCTTTCAATAAACAATAAATTGAAAGTTACAAGAGACAGGAGCGCATTCCGTAGCCAATGTGCTTGTGAGTGGTTAAAGGAGCTAAGTCTCTAACTCAATATTTTCCATAATATTCAAATTTAAAAACACGAATTACAATTCAATATTGATCAATTTCAATCAACATTCATGTTAAAATCTTGTCGTGAAACTATAGGATCCTAATATCCAATATTTAAGAAACAATTAACATTTTACAATCAGTACACGAGTCGTGTACCCTATGGTTTCGGGTGCCATTTTCTAATGAACAAATGGAAACATACACTACAACACAATGTTGAAGTATTAGTAATGGTTGATTGACAAACGACAAAACAATAATTTTAAAAACGTGTAGAATGCACCTGAACTTTCACGTTTTTCACAGAACACAATGGATTCAAGGTTAAAAAAAATAGATCCATACGCCCTTCAATGCATTTTACAGATAGAATGAGATTTGATTTTTTAATGGGTTAGTGTTGTGAACGATGCGCGTTTTTTGTTTACATTTTAGTTGATTTAGTGTCTTTTATTTACGTGTAGAATGCACTAAGCAGACGTAAACGACTGCTGTTTAATTTGAACTGTTTAAAACAGCGATAATAAAACATATTTATTCTTTCAATAAACAATAAATTGAAAGTTACAAGCGGCATTAGCGCATTCCGTCACCACTGTGCTTGTGAGAGGTTAAAGGAGCTAAGTCTCTAAATCAATATTTTCCATAATATTCGAAATTAAAAACAAGAATTACAATTCAATATTGATCAATTTCAATCAATATTCATGTTATTATGTTGTCGTGAAACTAGAGGATCCCAATATCCAATAGTTAAGAAACAATTAACATTTTATAATCCGTACACGAGTCGTGTACCCTATGGTTTCGAGTGTCATTTTGTAATGAATAAATGAAAACATACCCTACAACACAATGTGAAAGTAATTAGTAATGGCTGATTCACAAACGACAAAATAATAATTTTAAAAACGTGTAGAATGCACCTGAACTTTCACGTTTTTCACAGAACACAATGGATTCAAGGTTAAAAAAAAATAGATCCATACGCCCTTCAATGCATTTTACAGATAGAATGAGATTTGATTTTTTAATGGGTTAGTGTTGTGAACGATGCGCGTTTTTTGTTTACATTTTAGTTGATTTAGTGTCTTTTATTTACATGTTGTTAGTTGACTTCGTGTCTTTTATTTACATTTTAGTTGATTTAACATCTATTGAAGTTACGTGTGGAACACCGGTTGTACCATTTACGTTTCCGTTTCCTTTTCCTGATTCAGCGTCAATGGAGTTGCTGGTACTGTGTGTTTCCATGTAATTTACTTCCGGGTTTTCATATGGCCCGACATCGGTTTGTTTCACTGGCGCTCCAAGGAAGGCTTTAGCAAATCCATCACCTGAAAACACAAAATATATTGATTTTTAAATTAAAATGGTAAATGTGTTGTATGTTCTCAGCAGGGCTGGATCAACCATTCAGTAAAATTAGCACTGTTTGGGGCATCAAGGGAGGTAGGGGGCACCACCTGCTTAAGAACTTATAATGAGCTTTTCATTGTTTGACGTGTATAAAACCTCATTTTGAAAAAATACAAATTTATTTTATAATTTATTATTGTTTATAAACCGATAAGGGGGACCCAAAATCTGTTAAGTTCTTAGGGCCTCTATTGGTCTTAATCCGGCCCTGGCTCTGAGGGACAATGTAGACAAACGGCTCCATTTGCAAAAACCCGGAACTTGGTTCCTGAATTTTTCTATTTAAACATACATTATGCAAGAGCTAAATCTCATTTAACTACCCTTCACCTTACAGAAGTAAAAATGACGACATCCACAAATACAAATTGTAGGTTATCTTTAAAGATAAATAATAATAATAACAAAGTTTCTAATGTGCTTCGAGTTCACTAGATTTTTTCTCGATGTCAGTATCACAAAGGACCTTTAAAAAGGAAAGTTTTCATTTTGTTCTTAAAAACAGAAAGAGATTACTCCAGACGTATGTGTGATGGCAGCTGTATGAAAATGCACGATTTCCAGTCTCAAGTCTTACACAAGGGATCCGCAATAAGTCAAGTGTTTATGAGATGAACGTAAATTTCGGCTTGTGGTATAGGGTACTATCATGTCTTGGATGAAGGTAGGTGGTTGTGAATTCAAGAGCTTTAAAAGTTAATAATAAAATCTTCAAATCAATTCACTCTTTAACGGGTATTCAATATAATGATGATCATGTGGCAGTGATGCTGTCAAATCGTCCCTTCCCATTGAGTAACCTGGCAGCTGAGTTCTGAACTTCTTTATGAGGTTTTCTGGTAGTTGATACAGGAGAGTATTGTGGTAGTCGAGCTCAGATGTTATGAAAGCATGTACAAGTCTTTCTGTATTATCTCCGTTTAAATACTTTTGATCTTGCTGATATTATGGAGTTGGAAGAAGGATGAGGAGCAGACTGCCTGAATATGTTTTTTTTTTCAAACTGAGGTTGGAATCAATAACCGCTTCTATATTTCAATATTTTTGACCTTTGCTAATCGAATGATCTTCTTATTGTCAAAGTTAAGGGTAATATTTTCCGATAGGAATCTTATTTGTTGCTGTTTGGTACCAATCATTGAGAAACCAGTTTCTTCTGGATTTAGCTTCATGAAATGATTTATCATCCAATTGTGTATTTTTGTTCAATACAGTTTTGGACACAGTCAGGAGTTGGGATGCAAGAATGTGCATAGAATTCCAAATATAGTTAATCCAAAATCTGCCCCTATTTTTGTAATCGGCGTCATGAAGATGATGAATAGCACAGGATCCAATACAATTTCAATGCAGTTTTTGATATAGGCAAGTGTTAGGATGCAAAAATTCGCATCAAATTCCAAATATAGTTGGGTATCATCGGCAAAAAGATGGACTGTCAATCCAAAATCTGCCACTATCTCTGTAATCGACCTCGTGAAGATGGTGAATAGCACAGGACCCAATACTGAGGCCTGTGGCACACCACATACCATGTCAAGTGTCTCTGATTTTGAAGACTTTATTTTGACACATTGAGATTTTATATGCCGACTGACGTAGAATATCTAGATGATTTTCGTTAATATGTTGAATTTAGACGACTTAAAACACACCCTTCAATAATTTTGGATAGGAAACTCAGACTGCTGACAGGACGAATGTTTTATAACATCCGGACCGAGTGAGGATTTCCTCAATAATGGTTTAACAATTGCACATCGGAATTCAACAGGGAAGATTCCATCAGAAAGTGACTTGTGTAGTATCTGAGACAGAAGCGGGAGCAACAGATCGATATATTCTTTGACGAGGTATGTTGGTACTGGATCCAGTTCACAGGTCTTAGGTTTGTTTTTCATAATGATCTTCGGTAAATGGTATGAATTCGCCTAAAGTAGGTGTTGGTGGTTCTCTGGAAGAACATGTGATCATTTCTGATTGTTTTCCAGGATACCGCGTCTGATTTTGGAAAATTTATCTTGAAAGAATTCAGCGAACTTGTCAGCTAGTGTTTTCCGGCATGTAGAAGAGAGCCGTCGTTGCTCCTACACAAGACTATCAACGATTTTAAACACAGTTTTCTGATGTCTCCTATTCTGCCGTCAACTAGTGTGATGACACGTTTCGTTTCTGCTCGAAAAATCTTCCAGTGGATCGTTAGATTTGTACATCGCCATGTCCGTTCCGCCCTCCGTCCGTCTGATCTTTCTTGCATCTCTGATGGCATCATTAAACCACGGTTTCTTGCCCTTGACATTAATTTTCTTTGTGATCAGTGGTGCATGTTTTTCGAGAAATTTTACGGATTCCGTCGTATAAATTTCAATCAGGTCAGAGTGATCACTATCACAGTTAAATTTAACAAGCTCAGAATGGGCTATGTCGAATACTTTTCAGTTTACGGTAAGACATTTCCTGTCTTTTAGCAACAATGGTCACTGATTGAAGGGTCATCTATTATAGGCATAGTAAGATCTATTTCACCAGATCTTGTGATCACTGAGACTAGGGTGTGCCCACGTCGGTGTGCTGAACCAGTTATATTTTGACACAAGTCCCAAAGAATGTAAAAAATCGTTGAATTGTAAAGCAACATATTCAGAATTAAGCAGTGTAATCATGTAATAAATGAGAAGGTCTCCTTCGAAAACGGAAACTTGAGGAATCAATGGGGTTTAACGTCCACGCTTCACAAACCAGGTCATTAGAGAACTAACATATGGTTCAATTTTATTTGAATAATTCGTTTCCATTCATTGAGTCGTACAGTTAAATCAACTTACCTTGTACAGCTTACACTATAGATACATGATTGTTTTATTTTTTTTTATTTTTAGTCCAAAATAATGATATTTTCTGGTAAATTTTCTGAGTGAACATAATGTTAGCAGAAAAGATAGTATATCATATTTGTATAGAATATTATTTTTAAAGAGCATTTAGTAATACAATTGCTTGATAACGACGAGGGTGTCCCCCTTAAAACATTGGAGTTAATAAACTTAGTGAATGTTATCCATAAACAGTATGTTATTATACAGAATGTGTCTAGAATTTTATGTTACATTTATACTGAATAATAAAGATGACAGCATAAGAAGTTTTAAATAGGGAACGTCCAACTATAACAGATGGGTCATTGTCGGACTGTAGTGATGAAAAATAATTCAATATATGGATCGATTATATAGAACGAAGAGAAATAAGACAATTGCATAGGTATTATATAATATAATATTTGTCAGTCATGGTATATGAAAGGACCGCTTTCTACAGCAAAGAGCAGATAAAGAAATTACGACTTCACTACAAAACTTTAAACCTACTTAAACTCACAAGAAACGGGTTTCTAATTCAGAAAGGACAAATCAGAATGATTAATGGACAATGTTGCAGTCCACGAATAAAAACTCTACAAAATCGAATTATTTTTAATATTAAATTTTACATGTAATAGAAATGGTTAAACAGGTTCCAAATATACTTTGATCCGTGAAAATGATTTAAAGACCCTGGAAGAAATGAAAAAGGCCACAAAATGAAGTTTTTTGTACCGACTGTCACACATTCTGAAATCGAAGAATTCCACGCGAACTCACATGCGTGTATCTGGGCGCGGATTTAGTCATCTGCATGAAATGAAAAATGTAAATTTTGAAATTGGAAAAAAATCCAGACTCAGAATCCCATCAATCAAACAAGTGGCCCTTTTAGACTTTACTGTCATGTAAAAGTTAAAATGTAAATAAATTCATAAAGAAAACGCATCGGCTTCATAGTGCGAAATTTAAACAAATAAGAAACAAGGTCCTTTCATATACATCATGCATAGAACTATTTTCAGTGAGTATATAACATTTAAACAAACTTCAATCTAAATATAGAATTAATTGAACTGAAGAAAAAAACCAGTATATTATTATAACATCAATTTTCATTATTGTTAACACCCACTGATAGTTACCTAATGAAGACATGTTCTTAGCAGCTGAAAATTTATAAAATTAGTTTTACATACAAATATAATACAAAATACTATGATAGAACTATTCTAGAAAAAATAATACAAAATAATATGATACCATTATAAAAGGATAATAATTGCATATTAGTTTCATTTAATAGCGATGAAATTCGATAATGTTCTGAATTCCCCCAATTTACATATCTGAGAAAATTAAAGTGAACAGAAGAACCTTCACAATGTTTTGACTTTCCCGTTTGTCTTGTAAACTTATTGGAATTATATTAAGGGTGATTTTAATCGCACAGAACTTGTTTTTGATTAAAACTGCAGTTTTCAAAATGTGCCAAACCAAGTTTTTTAGTTTGTAATTTGTGACAAACACATTGTTTTAAACTATGTTGAAAAAATCATTAGCTGCAGTATCTCGCGATATACTGAAGACAATTCAGACCATTTTTTAACACAATTTCAAACTACCATAAACAGGTCAATAAAATTTGTCTAAAGCGTAAACCAATTTCCGCTAGATAATTTCACCATTAGACTTCATATTGGTATATTTGAAATGTGTTTCAAATATTCTTCATTAAGAATACTCAATCCCAAACATGGCTCTATCCAATACTCACATTAACATTTTTGTTCTAAAGAACGTGTTAGCAAACTGCGCCCACATTTTGCAAGAGATGGACAAACAAGAAGCTAAAAAATGTGATTTTTTGTAGAATCAGAGGCCACAATCCAGAAAGCTAAGGTCCGATCTGCACGAATATCGAAAGGAACCAAGATCTGTTAGATATAAACATCTATTTTAAGTTTCATCAAAATCGGATAAAAATCTGACTTCTAGAGGGTCCACAACTTTGGGGTTACATACTTTCCCACTAAATTCGAACTCAACCATCATTAGGGTGTAACGGTGATATTTTTCAACGTTTAGTTTTAAATCGGATAAAAATGGTGACCTCTAGAGGTTCCACAAGCTAAAAAACGTAATCCATGAAGTTGTTCCGATATGCGCGATTATCGAAAGGAACCGAGATCTTTGCGATATAAACATAAATCTAAAGCTTAATCAAAATCGGATCAAAATTGTGACCTCTAAGAGGGTCCACAACCTTGATATGTCGTATTTGCGTACGAGGAGCGGCCATTTTGTCAGGCAGTTTCTGGCAAATTTTCAAGAAATTCGAACTCAACCATCATTATGGCATAAGGTGATATAACGGTGATTTTTCGTACAATCAGGGGCCATAATCAGGAAGTTAAGTTTTGATACGCACGTGTATATCGAAAGAAACCAAGATCTTTGGGTTATAAACATACGTTTCGGGTTTCATCAAAATCGGATAAAAACTGTGACCTGTAGACTGTCCACAAACAAATGTGAAAGGACGGACGGACGTCTGGACGGACACACGGATTGACAGGGGCGACGACACACGATGGCGATATTATTATGTTAATAACAAGCATGCAAAAATGTTTATACATCGAACATAAGCGAAAGACATTTTTTTTAAAGTTATAAATATGTTTCAATCCACGGTGACCATAAACAACACGCTCACCTGTATTGTTTTCTATATAAACTATCCCTTTTTCATATGAGGAATTATAATTTAAAAAATAATAAAACATAACTTAGAATATGAAATAAAATCGGTTCGTGAATGGAAGAAATGAATACTTACCATCTTTCAATTCCACGTGTTCTAAAATCTTAGCAAGTTTCTCCTCCCATCCATGGCCATAAGCTTCTGTTGGATAAGCTGGTTCTCCGTGTTTAGGTATATCTAGACCTGTTGTAAACAATTATAATAATTTAATGGTGTATTTGTTTAGGGAATCTGTGATGTATGCCCACAGCAATGTCGGCCCAATAAGACTTAAAACATTCGATATAGTTCTATCTGAATGAAGAAACGCAACCAGTTTCTCCGTCGTTAAGTGCTGGATTTGTAACTCATAGTAATACACGCCTGACAACTTAAAGGTACACTGCTACTTTCATAATAAAAGTAATGTGATTAATTTTATTTAATACCATATTGAAAATAATTACATATTTTCCTGATATAATCAAGCGGTGTCATTCCTAGAAGAAAGCACTGTTCGCGAGCATTCGCTAACAGCTTACAATGCCAGGTTTGTTTTTGATATTAAACCCAACCGAACAGCGGCAAGCCCTTTGAAGTGCATTTAGCAATCCTAGTTTGCATATGAATTGTTCTTATTATCAATCCCGTTTAACCCCCTTTCATTTCATTTCTAATCAATCCAAAGTCCAATCTCACAAGTGTATTTTAACAGAGGCCGGATACTGGTGACAACAAAATAATCAAGGACTTCATCTATATGTATCAAATGAAGTTTACATTTACTATAAATTAATGAAAATCAAACCTTTAGCTTCCAATTCTGGTGCTACTCGTAGAAGTCCGGTAAGTTTTAAAATACCGAACATGAGTAGAGAAGTAACGGCTGTCCAGACTGCTATAGTAACCAAACCACACAGCTGCCATGCTAATGCCTGTAACAATTTATCACTGATTATTTATCAGTAACTGCATACAAAGTTATCAATAGTTACATACAAATGTATCAATAATTACCTAATAATTTATCCATAATTATACAGATGTATCAATAATTATATATAAACTATGAATAATTAAATACAAGTTATCAATAATAACACACAAATGATCAATAATAACATACAAATTACTAATAATTACATACAAATTGATCAAAAATTACATACAAATTGATCAATAATTACATCCAAATTGATCAATAATTACATTCAAATCTATCCGTAATTGCAGGTAAATAAATTTATCAATAATTACATTCAAATTTGTTTGAACTGGTATTCATTTATACACAGGCACCAACGTAATTTATCCAAATTTGACCCGACTGTTTTTCGAAATTAGCACAGTATGTCAAAAAATGGTCATGTTACTTTTTTATTTCGCCATTTTCGCTTGCAACTGACAATATCAAGAGTTAACATGCTACAAAGACGGTACAGTCATTCTTGGCCAAGAAAACTTATTTATGTTATAAACTGAACGAGAACAAGAAAGTGTTATTTCGTTTGTAATTCAGAAGATTAAAACATAACAAACGCGGATAAGTCACAAGTTGGACTTTTATAATAATGTAAACAACAATAATCAATAATATAAAGTGGTGATCTCACCATTCCGGAAGCCTGGTTCCAATTATATACAATTCCATCTGTTCGATGAAGGAAGGCTACAGCAATAACACCCCACATACCACCTCCAAAATGGACTAAAATAATATAAATATTACAACAGCATTAATTCACAGATAGAAACCGATTTTCATTTAATTTTGTATTATATAGAGAATCTCCTACGAGTCTTTTTTGATATGAAAAAAGACGAGTAGGAGATTTTATTTATCATCCAATCCTTTCTTACATGCACAAATAAATAGATATAATTCTTTGCTATAGATTTCACTGATTACATTACGGCGTAGTGATACATAATTTTTTGACAGCAATTCAACCATTGCAATGTCCTTTATATTGACCCAGTGTTTCCATCAAGGTCAATTAAATAAAAATGGTTCATTTTTAATAAAAAAAAAAGAAATTACTTTTAATAAAAAATCAACTGTTCTTTGAAAATAAAAAAACAAAGTAGTTCCTGACCAAACAAATTCCTGTAAAGCGATATCTCCTATCGCAGTAGATTATGGTATTTATCACACAAGCGATATCTACTGTAGAATGTATTATTGGGTGATAAATCATGTATCCTAACAGTCTAACTACATTTAGTTTACAATTTTATTGGGACGCTCTGGTTTTAGAATTCCATTAATTCACAACATAACGAAGCCGTGTATATCAAAGAAAATAATTACTGGTGTCAATATGGTAGGTCATAAAAAAACTGATTTTAATCACTGGTATTCTAAATAATAGGGCTACTGGGCACACCCTATCATTAGTACATCCGGGCCCACGCGCATATCTAAATATCTGTACTACATGGATTATGCAACTGCGTATAGTCATGTAAGTTAAACCCCCTTCAACTTGAATATATACTGTTCCTTTAGACTGCCTCTATAAATTTCAGATTTTTTTTATCAATCTAAATGACTTTGTATAATCACAAGAGTACAGCAAAAATTGTTCACTTATGAGAACACCTCAGACTAATGAACTTTTCTAGAAAGAGTAAGTTTCGATCCAACACTTGTATGTTATAAGGAGTAGGGTGTTCTGTCTAACCTCGTGGGTTTTCTCAGGGTCCTCCGGTTCCACTCATAGCTAAACCCCGCTACGCGACAACGAATTATTGAAATAACATTGTATCATATGTTAGACCAAAATGACCCAGTTTTCGTCGAGGGGAGGTTAAATCTCTCTCCCTCTCTCTCCTTATAATAGCTAAATAAAGGTACGCCCCATTGCTTTATATCGCTGGTCGTCATTTACCACTAATCGACGTGTTTCAATCCGATTATCTATACGCTGACTTACGACTTACCAGCTACGGCATCAAGTGGATCATCAATATATAAACTAGTGACTATCGTGTTGATTAGTTTGTAGGAGATCGCAGCAAAAAATCCAACAACACAAGCTGCCCAAGGATGGTAAACATTACATCCAGCACAGATAGCAACCTAAACAGAAAAATATAAAATTAAATGTCTTAGGAAGTAAGAGTTTGATGAATCATAATTTTAGTAAATGTACTTTAAATCCAATCTACCAAAATTATTACACAATAATAATAGCCTGAGTTCAGGAGTTCAGCTCGTAGAGTATAGAAATAGACAAGGGTCACCTCTTACTCAACGGTGTAAAGAGGGTTTAGCGAATGGGTGGTTTTCGTTGGTTGCTAAACAAAATACAAATTAATATGCATTTAAAATTTGAGACAAATTTGCAAAATCCAAATATAGGCGTTATAACGTCCTGGGCCCTTATTCACGAAAACTTAAACTAAGTTACAACCGAAATTTTAAGAAATACTGCAACTTCATTGGATATATGCAAATTGATTTTACTGGTCAGCCAATCGAATTGCAGTATTTCTTAAAATTTCGATTGTATCTTAGTTTAAGTTTTCGTGAATAAGGGCCCAGATCCTACAAATGTGGCTTTCAAGGAGTTAGTTACATGCAGTTGGAAGCGGATTCCTAGAATGATACTAAAGTACAAATAAAAACATTGTATTAGAAGGCGAGTACTGTACCTTTGTATACCACATTAGTCACTACCTACAGTTAAGAGAAGAAACAAAAACAATATTGAACTTCTTAGATAAAACGGAACTACCCGGGGTAGTGTCCCTTAATATACCACTTCGTGCACCGTTCTTGTCATAATAACAATGCATTCTTTGTAGCTACACGTAAATGACACTCAATTTTTATAAATCGTATCTTACCATTCCAGTCAAAGCACCGTTCAACGTGGTCAATAAACTCCATTTACTGGTTCCGGTAAGTCTGTTAATGATCAGAGAGACCAAGGCCGACATGGAACCAGATATAATGGTATTAACAACCGATAAACTGATCGCTTCACCATCCCCAGCGTTAGAAATAGTTAACTGGGATCCACCGTTAAACGCCAAGAAACCAAACAACAAGATGAAACCACCCAGAGCAGCCAACTGTAATGTAACATTAAAATATTTCTATCAAAAAACTAATAAAATTGTGATGTCACTACACATAAATCGTTTAATTGGGGCATTCCTGTTTACCACAAGAAGTGTTCGGCCCTATTAAAAAGGGCTGGGAGCGTAAACCTTGCAGAATTTTAAATTTCATTTGGAAAAATCTCAGTAATTGCTATTAGAGGTGCCATGGCCAATGAGAGCAGGCCAACTTAAATGTCATGCAAATCCTATCCTACTTCTTTAGTATTCACTATCACCATTACCATTAATATCGACAGGAGTAATAAAACTGCCCGTCGTGATTCATCTGTAGTATTATCCATCATACTAGCAAATCACGTAGTTCAATCGCATGCCTTTAACTGTAATCAATAAAATTATACTTACAGGAACAGAATGTCCTCTGATGGGTACCACTGTCTTGCTGCCTTTATGGAATCTTCCTTTACGGGGACCAAGTAGTGTCGCTCCAACAAGAGCAGCTATTCCACCCAGCACATGTACAACGCCACTTCCAGCAAAATCCTACAATAAGATCAACATATTTTAGATTACAGTGTTGTTTTTAAAACCACCTTTTCTGAAACACGTACAAACCAGAAAATATACTCCGGTAAAAATAAATCGCCCTTAAAATAACCCAAGAAATCACCCTCTAGAATGGGATTAGATTTAATCAAGCGAAACACTACAAGGAGTATTCCAATTGACTAGCAGGGCATGGGTTATAACATATTCAAATTATTGAGTCTACTGCCTCCTAAACTTGTTCCTTGGGCTCCAAGTATTGGTAATTAGTCAAATGAAAAGTCGATTAACCAGATTGCTGACCCCTATCATTAACTCTATCGTATTGGTTGAATTCGATAACCCAGTTTCTGCTTCCCCATCAGTTTGGTTAAACTAGACTAGTATTAGATGTACCTTCTTGGTTGAATTCGGTTAACCAGCCTTCTGCTTCCCTATCAGTTTCATACGTTTGGTTACACTCGACTAGTATTAGCTGTACCTTATTGACTGAATTGGATTAACCGGATTTCTGAATCCCTGTCAGTTAGATACGTTTGCGCAAACTAGACTGGTATTAGCTATATATTATTTGTTGAATTCGATTAAAGTAGATCTAGTATTAGCTCTATCTTTTCTGTAGGCTAATCTTGTAGCTTGAAGATAATTCTGGATAATCCAATCTAGACAGAAATCCACGACATGATGTCTGATATCTGTTTTAATGTACCTTTTTCATAATAGACAGAAAAGGTGTAATATTTCATAATGAATAAACTAACTTAATAAGATAGATATGTTACCTTGTAACCAATGGTGACCGTTTCGTTGTTGAAAGTATAATCCATTCCTGCAGTTAACCAGGCATTGTCAGACCAAACCCAATGTGTTACCACAGGATAAATAAAACCTAAAGGTAAGCATTGATATCATTGTATTCATCATCATCACAACAGCGGCAGTTTTCAATCTTTGCTCCTTAAAAGGATTTTGTTACATTACCAAATCGTTCTATCTCTAGTCTTAAGAATTCATTACGTTACCAAATCTTCCCAACTCTAGTCCTAAGGATTCACATTAACATTACTAAATCTTCCCAAATCTAGGTTTTATTACATTACCAAAGATTCCTAACTCTGACTAGTCTAAAGGATTCATATTAACATTACTAAATCTTCTCAAATCTTGTTACATTTTCAACCCCTTTCTTAAGGATTCAATATACGATCAAATCTTCCCAATTTTAAGTCTTAAGGATTGATATTAGCATGACTAAATATTCCCATATCTGGTCTTAAGGATCCATTACGTTATCAAATCTCCTCCCAAATCTAGTCTTAAGGATTCAGTATAGCATTGCATGAATTAAATGGTGTTTAACGTCCTACTTTTCTGCACCGACTGGGCTAATGAAAACGGACAGTTTGCTACGGGGGAAACATTGCACTGACAGCGGCACTTAGACCTACTCTTTATTTAGAATTCCAACTGTCAAGTTTTTCTTTTACATACACACCAATGTGTACAGGTGACCTCTGTCTTTCATCCCATCTGAATGACTAGAACATGTTCCCCGTCAGGCCCTCCTCCCGCACAAGGAACGAACCCGAGACCCCATGGTTAACGAGCCAGCGTCTTATCCACTAAGTCAACACGGCCTCTTTATTTACAGCACTGGGGGTACCAAGTCGGCGTAAGCAAATTGTCACGGGATGTAAAGTACCATGACATTTTGACAAATTTGTGTTGTTATCGTGACGACAAGGGGAGATCTCCGGAATCACAATTTATGACGGTAATTGTCATTGCTGTGGTCGAGTAATTCGGAGGTGAATAGAGAAGGAGTCTGTAAGTTTGGGGGGCTCGGGGTTCCCATAAAAAAAATTAATGTTCTCGTGTGGTTTGATGGCCTTTTTTGTCAGGGTCCCTTTTCGGCCTTGTTTTCGTGCCAGGCTCAGGGTCTACTTCCACAGTTCATCCTTGTAGTTATATCTTATTACTATCAGCACGCTTTTCTAAAACTTACCCGTTATCAAAATACTGTAAACGATATAAGCTATAAATTCACATCTTTCAGCCATAGCACCAGAGACTATAGTAGCTGCTGTGGCGGCAAATACATACTGGAAGAAAAATAGCGCCAGTCTGGTTTCTTCGAGCTCGTATGTTGCCCAAAAACTGTAACCAATAAATTCGTTGCCATTTCCAAAAGCAAATGGAAATCCAAAAAGCCAGTAAGCAATTCCAGCGACAACTGAAATAAAATGCATTATCTTATAGTCATGACTCTGGTGTCTCTAATGTGTTTACCCTCTGTGCTACAAGCTATTAAATTGAATTACAATAGGGTTTAACGTCCTACTTTTCTGAAACAGGCTATTAAAGAATATACAGAAGCAACATTGCTCAGAAAAAAGTCGCGCATGAATACGTGTTTTATTATGTAAATCGAGGATAAATGTTAGTGATTCTATAAAACTCCATGCCACTTCTCACTTGTACTTTTGTATTTTACTGTGCATATGTGGTACTCTAAGCTCCACGTTGCTAAAGGGTTATGATCAAATCGATAAATGACTTAGTTAATCCAATGGAAGTACGGGTGGGTTGGGGGTGGGGCAAAATATGAAATAATATAAGTCCCGATGTGCCATTTTAGCTCAATATAATCACAAATAACTACCATGAACAACCAATCTCTGATAGGAATATCAGTCCAAGAATTGTATAAATCCGTTGAGTATTTACAAAGATATTTAGAATTGAAATTTCATCGATCTGTGCCGCTCGCTATGCAGTAAGTCGGGCAATTATCTAGCGTTGGTATTTTCACGTTGTTTTTTTATTCGTTAAATGTTAAATAGTCAATCTAAGTACATATTAGCCTGAATTAAACCGTGAGAAATTTGATATTTTGGCGAAAAACATCGAGGCTTTAAGTTTGATATCAGCTTAATAAAGGAGTATCCAATATTTTATTTCATTTGGGATTCCTCTAGATTCAGTGTTTCATTAGATAAAAAAGGATATCAAGTAATAGTAAATGTATATATACATGTATATGTTTTTATTGATAACATATACTTACATTGATCCATTAAATTTTTAATTAAAATGTTTGTAGAGTTTTTACTGCGTACAGCACCAGCTTCTAGAAAGGCAAAACCACATTGCATCACTGAAAATAGAATAATATTAACAATTAAACTTTGTCCAGGCTGTGGTAAGGTTTCCCGTGTGCCATTCTGCTATGACATGTTGTAAAACAACTTCTGTGGGCACAATATTTACCACCTATATACAATACCAAACAGATTTAACACCATCAACACCATCAGTAACACTGTATTACATGTATGTTAATATTTATGACCATTTTCAGAGGAACCATAACTGCCATCAGTTTTCTTGTTGGCGTGTTATGAGGCCATGACAGTGTTTAAAATGTTTTTGATGTAAATTGATAAATTTCAAGAACCCAGTATTCAGATGGCCAGATCTATTTGTTACGGCCAACTCAATTTTCGTCAAGGCCGCTGAGATGTAAATAAGGTTAGGACACGTGATTGTTGGCGAGATTGTAGGTTAGGGCAAGCATTAGGGCTAGGTCCAGGGTTAGGGTTAGGATTAGCGCTAGCCCTGTTTACATCTCGTGACCTTTGACCAAACTTGAAGTTAGGCTTATCAATTAGATCCTACTGTATTCAGATTCGTGATAAAAGGAACACTCTGAACTTTTCAGTCGTAAATACAGCAATATACATCAGTCGCTGCTTAAGGGGCTATCATTTCTCAGTTTATCTGATATGTCAAAGCATGTACACTTTATGATGACTGCTTGCCAAATATCCTCGGTATTCACAGTGGTCTCATTCCGTTCTACTCCACTAACACCCGTGTAGCAATAATATTTTCTGTGAGCTGATAGTGAAAAAACTTCAGTCAGTCAGGAGGTAATTAGTAGTTGACTAGCTAACCGGATCTGGACACTTCGCTTGACACGGTATATACTGGAAGTCGGCTTGGCTTGCCTGTGTATTTGTCCGCTCAAAGCGATTGCCATGTTAGTTCAAGAAATTGAAAACAAGTATGGCGGTTGTTTTGGGCGTTACCTTTTATTTAATTATTTTTTTTATTTTTGTATGTGTGAGTTAGTTGTTTTTTCACGTCCGCTTCCACCGAGGTGATATCACAGACAAGTAGTTTTGTTTGTGTGGTGAAAGTGAACGTTAAATAAAGCTATATCGCACACTAATCGGAGTTCAGCTTTAAGTTCAATAATAATAAACATAACAGAATGGAACATTTTAGACAAAGAACGAAAAATAATAATAATAACGAAAGTCAAACAAATAGATGTTATATATATTTGAAATCAGCGAAACATACTACAGATAATACAATTAAATATAAATGAATGAGAAATATATACATACATTATTTACATAAATCATTCAGTAAATAGACATGAATAGGGTTATCTACCCTTATAAAAACGAACGCGAAACGAATGCCGTTTTATTAGACTTGTTTGTAAACTGTTTTTTGATTGGTTCGTAGACATAAGCTACAATCAAGACCAGAGCAGATAATTTGAAATCGTGGAAATCCTATGGATTAACCCGGGGTGTAGTGGAGTAGAACTGAATGAGACCACTGGGGTTACCGAGGATGCTTGACAAAAGGCAAATTGTTAACATCGAACTATTGAGATAAAACTATTAACCAGAAATTTCATGGGCGTCGCCAAGAAATTATTGACCCATTCAAAAGTCTGTTCAGTTTACTATTATTTCATATCTTTTTAGTTGATATGTATGTAGTAGTTATTAGCACACTTTCCGAGGTGTATCGGTGAATATCAGGACAGTTTTGGTCGAGGGGCCCAGCCGAGGCGGAGCCGAGGCGGCTCCCGACCAAAACTGTCCTGATATTCACCGATACACCGAGGAAAGGTGCTAATAAGTTACTTACATCACATTTCTATCGAGTATTGTGAAGCAAAATGTGAAAAATAGTATTTATTATCGAGTCGTTTCAACCGAAAAGTGACAAATACAAAATTCTGTTCTTTCATTATTTATCCCTTTCTGAGCCTCACGTTACATTTCATGGTAGAATGATTTCGCAGTGGAGAGACGACCTGAGTAGTATTTACACGTGCGTCTTGCTATGATACTCTGAGCGTAAAACAATCACGTGTTTGTTTAGACCACATCGTCAAAACATTGTCTATGGCGTAGAGGACTGCGATATTATTAAATGTAGTGTAAAGGAAATGCGAAACGTGGGTCATTCCTGGTGAAAGTATGCATCGGCGAATGGTTCTTCCGTTGAAATTTATTTGTAATAAAGTTTATGACTTTCTAGGCGGTTTTTTTCATCCTGCTTATTTTCAATGCCTGTGAAGTGTCCAGCAAGAGAACTGCGCTTTCTATCATCACAATTAATTAAAATAATTATTCAATATCCTAATTTATATATTTTGCATATTAATATAAATCAAACCAAATTATGAAATAGATGCCAATTGGTATGTATAATAATTGATTTTTGTAATATGTTGTTATGTTAATTTAATGTCATTGTATATGTTTTTGAACTGCCATGTAGTTCCCCCCATTTTGTTTTGTTACTATGATTTTGACTAGTTGTTTCATGTACATTGGTTAGAACCTCGTTATCAATTGCGATCTGGGTCGGACTAAACGTCCGCTACTTATTGCTTGATAGATATTTAAAACGGTATAAAAGTATCCGTGTATCAGAAATGATCAGTACACTTTCTGTACATTTCTGATACATGGATACTTTTAAGCTTGTATTGCAATTAAACAGGACAGTTTTATCAAAGGTTGCCAGTGGCAACGAGTAGAAGTGGGATGTAATTTCTGGTACTTCAGGATCGTGATGCGGGGCAGGGTATGCTTACTATTTCTGGGACACCTGATGCTACTTCGCTATTTAAATACAGATTACCTTTAGATAGTCCCAATTAGAACGTCAATTTGCCCTTTCGCTAATGGGTTTATATGCATGGGATTTTCTCTTTAGGGCCTTGTGTACCGTAATTCATTGTAAAGTTTAAATGTAGCACTTTAGAGTCACGATTTTGTTCTAGGCGGAGACTGGATGTCAGAGAGGGTGTTATTAATTTCTTTAATTGTCTGGAAAGATCAGATGATTTGATCATTATTATCAAAAGTTATATAGCGGGGTGTTTTTTGGGGGGTTTTTCGGGTGGTCTTTACAATGTCCTGATAGCCTGTTTCACACAAATGAACAATAACGTAAGTTGTTATCGTTATTAAACAGACCTAAAATTAAACACCCTCCTGACCCTAAACAATGGCACCTTTTTGATGAAGTGTAAACTATAATCAATTCATCAACATTTTTCACAACTAGTCTTTGTGAAGAAATTAAGGGACGCTATCTTGTCGATTTCAGTGTTAATTTCTCTAAAACAGAGTTCAGACAGTTCTAAACAAGTCAGGTTTTTTTAAGCTTTATACGAAAGCTTATTGATTGGTGGCTTTGGAATGAATATATTTTCAAAACGTTTTACGAATCTTAAATCACCGAATTTAACGTACCAAATTTGACCTACATAGCTGTAACTTTGCGACTTTTTGACCTTTTGATTTCGTCCCGGAAGTTTGACAACTTCTTTAAAGATACATTAGTTAAGCGTTTTATAAAGAGTTGGTCATTCTTGCTATAATAATTCAAAAATAGATGATAAAAAATGAAAAGGTTGAAAATTTCAGTCAAATTACTTTGTTCTGAACGGAATTATATCGTTGGAGGTTTGGACTAGAAATAGGCATCAATTGTGTCTGCACCGTCTATGAGAATTAGCGATCGTTTGATTGACAGACGAAAACTCCACCCACTATTCTCGAGTATCATGTAACATGCTCAATAGCTATGGTAGCCTTGCATGGCAGGCCTTTCATCACCAGTTTCCGGTAGTGACATCAGCGACTAACGGTAAACGTTATATTAGCTTGGTCCGCCATTTATTGATTTAATTTTAAATGGACGATTGCTTAAATCCAAACTGTATCCAAGCCATCCGTGGGTCTACAGAGTTGATTTTGAGCTTGTCGTGTAAATAAAGGTCTAATTAATAATTTCTATAATAACTGAACCCTAAATAAAGACTTGCAATAGGCAGATTTAACTCTTGCATAATGTATGTTTAAGTTTCGTCTTTTCCAGGTTTTCAAAGTATCTTAAATTTAGTCTATGCAATTTTCAAAATTCATTTTTTTTCCGAATTTTTTTGTCTAATGAATAGGTAGTACCTAATATTAGTACGATTTTCATGACATTTGGAATGTAAGTAGATCTGACTGGTGTAACTTGAACGATGTCATTAGAAATATTGTAACTTATCTCCCCTTGGAGAAATAAAGGATCAAAATTTTCCAAAAAAATCGGAACAAAAGTAGGTCAGATTGACTTGTACTAACTAAGAAACTGTTCATGCGTACACAAAATATGAAGTTTGTCGATCGAACCAGAAGTGCCACCATCTTGGAACGTGAAAAATCCCTAAGGCTTTTACAATATTTTCCTTACAGACACGGGAGTTACTTTTTCTGAATCCTTGAAGGAATGCCTATAAAATGTAGAGAGCATTTTAACGGACTTGAAAAGATTAAAACGCCAACTCATTAGAGAAGAATTTGTTTAGGATTAACAAATCATGACCAAGATGACTAGTACTTGAAATGTGACACTATATGTACTATTGTGACCGGTACCTTGGTGTTACAAAATTTTGGTATCCCTTACACGATTCTTTGATTTCTTAAAAATTAGTCTCACGGAGATCCACCCTCAGCTATTTCTTAGAATTTGTTATCTGGTTTCCATTTTTTAAAAAATGTTTAGTTATGTACCAGACGTCGAGTCAAGGCTACCAGACCGTGTGCTAAAAGGGTGCTGATTTAACTAAGTGCCTGAATTTAAGAGCTTAGAAATATGGTAATAGTTCCCTATACCGCGCATTTTCAATTGTATGAGGAAACGTGTAACAGTTGGGCACGGCACTCTAATTAACAGCAAAACTTTTATTTCGTTTCGGTTTTATTTTTGATTAGCCTACTTTGCTATCAATTCCCAATCTGTTTCACAGAGATCTTCTAATATTGTAGCGGCCTATGGAAA